TGGACGGGTAACTAGTGTGTCAGAGAGTTGCCATAATCTCCTTAAACCCGCATGCGGGTTTAAAGAGTATTCGGATATTCTCATATGCACCTATGCATATCGAACCAACCGGATATCTTATCCGTATCCCATTTTTTTAAATAAAAATCTTATAAATTTGAAAAATAAAATCAAATTTAGATGTATTAGGGTTTTAAAAATATTATATAAGTGATAAAAATTTTATAAATTGTAAAAATAAAATCAAACTGCTTGGATAATTAAATGTTATATTTGCATAAGAAATAATACAATAATCATAATAATGATAATACAATAATATTGGTGTAATAAAACTGCCATTAATTTAAATATTTACTTATAATGCCCAAAGAGCCTAATTACCAATTTTTTCTTCTCGCGCTCAAATATAACATTAACCCGCATGCGAGCTAACCTTGAAATAGAAAAAACACAGAATCCTGCTTGCGGGTTTCAACGTTATTATGCAGGCGGGATTTTAACCTGCTTGCTTGTAAACATGTACCACATTGCTTTGAATTTTTGTGACAAGAGGAAAGCTTTGTCTGATGAATGTATTTGTGAAATGACCTGAGTGGTGGTAGATGGGTTAATTGGGTCGGTTGCGTTACCCAATTGTTTATATCCATAAGTAAAATTTTATGATTCCCATACCCATCCCCTCACTTTTTCTTATTTATTTCTGATTTTTATTAGTTTTCATTAATTCACTAATAAGTGTGTTAGCAAGAACATATAAACATATAAACATAGATAAAATATTTTACTCAAAAAAGAAAGAGACTTTGGTTGTTAGCAAGAACCAATAAGTGTGTTTATTGGTTGAAAGACAATATTACTAAGTGTGTTTACTCTGGAGTTGAGCTGGTACCATAAAATACATAAACAAGATATACGTCGAATGCAAGCCAAGTCAATAAAATGCCATGCAACCAAGTGAACTCAAAATATACATAAACCAGGTTTACATGGAATACAACTAGGTTTCCTGTAGCATTCAGATTTTCGAGTTCACATGAGCATTTACTCCTGATACAAAATAATTCTATCAATTTCTAAACAAAAATACACCCAATGATCTACATATTTTCAAAACAAGAAATGTCCAGTGGGTAATTGGAATCATCCCAATTTCCAAAACTAGCTTATATCTTCAAAAGTATTTCGAACATCTGATAACACGCTCATGTAGCCAAAAGTGGCTAAAATCCATTCATCAATTTGTTCAAAATATTCCTACGCCTTTCCGATGGGCATCCAAAGAAGCTTCTTACTTTCTCGGTGTTTTGACAAAGGAACACATAATAATCATCAATCAGGTCTATCTCAACTCCAATATTAACAAGTTCATCATAAATCTCTTTCTCTGAATATACCCGTGGCCTAGATTTCTCAAGAATAGTATTACCTTCTCTTAGTGCATCAGCAACATTGTGAAGTGCACCCTTCAAACTTTCAAATTCTTCATCACATGTGACTTTTCTTTTCTTACTTTGTGTTGCTGTTGTACCTTGAGATTGTTTGTTGTTACATGCCTTTGATCGTTGTGCATCCAACTCCTTACTTGAATTATTGAATGTCTCTAGACTGATCTCATTTTGAGATAGCATGTTATCAATCTCAATGATATTTTCAAACTGCACTCCATTTGGTTCATTCATCCAACGCATGCGTTTCTCTTTTGCTGTTTCAGCACCTTGTCCCGTTGCTCTATCTTTAGCAAAAAGTTCTTCTAAACTGTCATAATGGTTGATAACTTTAGTCTTCCACTTTATAGCTTCAGGTTTTTCCTAAGAACATGAAAAGAAAAATGAAAAACAAGCATAATTTCAATGATAAAATAAATAAAAACAATAAAGACAATAAAACAGTCTAGCTAACATATACCTGTAGAAGTTGTTCCCAAACTTCAGGTTCAGCACACCAAGTTTTTGTGAATGGGTTCCAGGAAAAACCACTTAATTTTCCATTTCTAAAGAAATCATAGGACTCTTTGAAGTGTTCCTTGAGTGTCTTCAGTCGATTCTTCAAATGACTTTTGGTAAATTCCATTCCAAGTTTCTCCTTCAACTCATTGATAATATTATTGTATGCAGTTGGTGTAAAAGTTCCATCCACGCGAAATCCTTTGTAATGCTGATCCAAAAGGGCCTGAATGAAGACTTCATCCATTGCTAGAGTCCATTTCATGTTTTCCTTCATGATGCTTGGATCTTTCTTCATGCTTTTCCAATTACACAAACTATATTTGTAGAAAAACACATAACAAGAACAGAATTTACATCAAAATAAAAGTTTTAGATTAATTCTTTTATGAATACATGGTTTTATAGATCCAAAAACATACAGAATCTATTAGACAAAAGAAGATTCATGTGGCAACTTGTATTTATAAACTCATACTACTAATATAAGAGTACAAGTTAACAAAATAAGGATCACATTTCAACTTAAACAAAAGAAATCAGCATCAAGTCAAGTTGTCATAGTATGTAATCATTCCACATTTGCATTGCTATTTCATTCCTTAAACTTTCTCCTTGAGCATGATCTTTTTCAGCACTTATATCTCCACTTTCCTCCTCCGATGGAGATTGATTTGCCAATTCTTCATCCACTTCATTAATGTACTCCAAGTCAGGGTCAAACTCCATGAGAAAATTATGTAATATACAACAAGCAAGCACAATTTGTGATTGTGTTTCAACACTATAAGTTGGTTGAGTATCTCCAATGATTGGAAACCGTTTTTTCAAGACACCAAATGCTCTCTCAATTGCATTACGCAATGATGAATGTCGCAAATTGAATAGTTCTCGAAAGTTTTGCGGTTGTTGACTTGAGTATTCCTTCAGGTGATACCTTACATTTCTATAAGGTGTAAGAAGTCCCCTTCTCAACATGAATCCAGCATCAACAAGATAATATTTACCTATACAAATATCAAATAGTTACTACTTAATTAAATGCACTAAGAATAATTAACTAAGTATTACCATTAGGAATGATTAATTTATCTTCTCTAGTGAGCGCATTTTTTATGATCCTTGAATCCGATGCAGTTCCCTCCCAACCAGGTAGAACATATGTGAATCTCATATTCAAAGAACATGCAGCAAGCACATTTTGTGTTGGATGCTCTTTTCTACCACGATATTTTGCCGCATCAATATTAGGCACCTTAACGCGAACATGGGTTCCATCAATTGCACCCACACAATCCTGACAGTTATACACTATGTCAAAATATAATTTCTATATGAATTTACAATTTTTAAAACAAGGTGTCAAAAAGTTTATATCACCTTAAAATATGGATAAAATCTTGTACTATTAAGTATTTCCGGAGGAACTTGTTCTCCCGTAGGCTGCTGAAGAAATTGATCCTCCAATGCTATAACTGCTCGTAAAACTCTATGAAAATGACGACTAACAGTTTCTCCAGAACGCCGATAAAAGTATGACATTGTGATATTTTTTGAGGGAATTGTTAATATATGGAGAAATTTAACAACTTGCTCTTGCACCGTGGCTCTTTGAGTAGGTTGTAGACCACCATGTGTTTGCAACAAGTCACACAAGCGCCTAAAAGTTTCTGGTCCCATACGGATAACCTTACTCAAATATCCATTTGTACTGAGTTGCATCAATAATTCCTCTCGTACTAAATGACATTGTGCAGACCAATATCCAATGGGTCGATCCACATAATTTGCATGGCTTAGTTTTCGAGCAATTATCATGTTTACTACCTGACAAACAATTTCAGTAGCAACCAATTGTCGCTTCCTTTGTTGAATGTCATATTCTCCATCGACTTCATTTTGTTCCTTATCCATCTAAAACTGTTTGTATTAGAACACTAAATTTACGAATGAGTAAATAATTAAAAACAAATTTTATTTATTTACAAGGGTTATGGAGTCATTATCAAATACAATGTTAAAATTCTAAATATCAATATAAAAAGAAGTATTTTTCTAATAGTAATGTTTTTAAAGTGCTGACATAATTTACAGTAAATAAAAATAATCCAACATCCTAATAAATAAAGATTTTTTAAATGAAGATACGGAGATATAAATATCATTTTGTCTACCCAAACTTTACTGAAAAATTCTTCATGCTTTAAATTAAGTTGATCAAGCATTTGATTTTTTATGTCTTTATTTTGGTTTCAGCCAGGAACACCTCTATGAATATAAATAGAATTGCTATAGCCTAGGAGATTTACTGATATCAACTAACGTAACCAAATATGATTTATTCTATTGCCATATGGCCACCATCTTGTTAGACCTCATTTTGGTTTTGACGATCAGCCACCATTCAAAATAATACTTCTAGTATCATCATCTTGTTAATCATTTCAAAGAAAGATGCATTATTATAATAAAAAGAGGCTAACGTATTGTTTATGAACTCTAGATGGATTATTTTACAATTTGAATCTTACATAGGCAAATAAACAAACAGATTGTATGCATTCAAATTTCATATCCATTTATCACCACTAAAGCTGTCATGTACCATAACCATGCAAGATATAATCACAAATCAATAATATAAAATCAAGAGTTCATTAACAAGAATTTTATGACAGAAAACGAACAAAAAATTTAGAGTATAAACAATAAGAATCTACACAAAAAAAAATACTTTTTTCACAATGCTCTAGTGAAGACTAAGCAAAGAAAGAAAGAGAGATTGAGTTAAAGAAATACCTTTTGTTTGGTGAATTATGGGTGAAGAACCAATGAAAGCCAAGTTTTCTGATTTCGCAACTTGCTGGAAGTAGTGAAAGTATATGACACAGGACCACCGAGAAAGCTTCATAGTGCTTTTAGAAATCAGTTTTAGGATATATTGGGAATAATGAATTTTTGTATCAGCTTCTAAAGGACAAACTTGTCATATTAAAAATGTCTTTTGGCGCCCCATCATCTTTCCGTCCTTTTCTTCCCACTTTTGGGCGGAAAAATTTTCAACAATTGGAGGGAGATTTTATCCGTTCATTTCACTTCTTTTCTGTACTTGTTAAACTCCCAAAGGAAAGAAATGGTTGTCCTTTCTCTCTGAATACTTTCTTTTCTGTCCATTTCACCCTATCCAAATGAAGCCTAGACACATACAGAGTGAGAGAGAGAGATCAACCGCAATGTACCGCCAACCGGCGATGGGGGACTACGGCAGCAACGGCTACCACCACCACACCAACCACCAGCACAGTGGCGGTGGTCAGGTGGCAGCGGGGCATCGAGGAAGGCGGGGAAGCCGCGGGAGGCAGCGAAGAGATGGCAGCGGTAGCAATAGTAGTGGTAGTAGGGTTTGTAATTACTACGGCGCTCAGCAGCAGGAAAAAGAAGAAGAAAGGGCTCCTCCGCCTCCGCCGTGCACGGACTTTGATGTTGCCTATTTTCACTCCTATGCTCACGTTGGCATTCACGAAGAAATGATCAAGGTAGTACTATCCCTTTTTCCTCCGAATTCTTTGCTCAATTTAGGAAAGGTTCTACATTTTGTCGTAAAAGTTTAACTTTTTTACTATTAATTGAATTTTCGAATAATTTGAAGAATTTGTTAAGAAAAAGAGGTGTTTTTGTTGATCTGTTTATTTGTTTTAGGTTGTTTCTCTGTCTTGTTAGGGAAAGGAACTTAGTTTTTCTGTAATCTTGTAATTGTAGGGATTAAAATCTTGGTAAAAGTTTACTTTTTTTGTAATTTGGGAAAGGTTCTACATTTTATTGTATAAGTTTAACTTTTTTACTATTAATTGAATTTTTGAATAATTTGAAGAATTTGTTAAGAAAAAGAGGTGTTTTTGTTGATCTGTTCATTTGTTTTAGGTTGTTTCTCTGTCTTGTTAGGGAAAGGAACTTTATTTTTCTTGAATCTTGTAATTGTGGGGATTAAAATCTTGGTTTTTAGTTTTTCTGTAATCTTGTAATTGTGGGTATTAAAATCTCAGTTTTTATATTGTGGGGAACTTAATTTTCTGTAATCTTGTAATTGTGGGGATTAAAATCTTGGTTTTTATATTTTCGGTCTATTTGGGGTGGCAAATGGTTCGCAATACTAGGGATTGTGTTACTCGTTGTAGTGCTTGAATGATGTGTTAATCTGCTTCATCCATGCAGGATCGTGCGCGGACTGAAACTTACCGGAACGCAATTTTGCAGCATCAGAGTAACATTGCAGGAAAAGTGAGTTGATAGCCGTAAAAGGGTTAATTTTTGTGATGAATGATGTTAATGTCTATTCCTATGTTATCATATATTTGAATAACATCAGATAAGGTTGATCTATGTAGTAGCTATAAGACAGAAGATGCTAAACTTGTAAAGGATCTCTGTGGGATACTTTTATGAAATTCGTATGGTAGTCGTGCCTAAGATTCACGCTATACACTCTTTAAGAGGATATATCCATGAAAATTGTAGCTTGTCTATTCTTAACTGACGCAATTTTCTGGTTAATATTTGACTTCTCAAATTCATACAATCATGTTTGCAGGTTGTAGTTGATGTTGGTTGTGGAACAGGGATTCTTTCCATATTTTGTGCTCAGGCTGGTGCTAAAAGAGTAAGATATCTTTGTGATTAATCTTTGTTACATGCTTAAATCACATAAAGTCTTGTTGTACATCAATAGTATTGGGCCCTTAGAATGTGGTGCAAACAAGTCAAAGACTGCCATAGGAAAGGTTGTTCTACATTTAGAATAAAATTTTTCACATCCCACATAAGTGCTAAGAGTGCATATTAAAATGCTTTTCCTTCAGAAAGACAAGGAGATAACGAAAGCATTGGAATTGAGTTTCAGATGTGAGGATGCCTGCATTGACTTTTTGTGGAAAAGTGGGCTGACATTGATTATCTATATTGTAGAAGAGAAGCTTTTCCATTTTTCTTGTCTTCTTTGCGTAAAGAGATTTCATTACAATTCTCTATCACTGTTTCTTTCTGTTGCTATCAGCCTGATGTTAATGATTGTTTCTGTTGCTATCACCCTGATGATAATGATTGTTTTTCCAGGTGTATGCAGTGGATGCCAGTGACATTGCCATACAGGTACTTTCTTTTCTTGGGGGGAAAAAAGAAATTTTGACTTAAAAAAATGAAAAATGCCTCAAGTTGTTTCTTATACCAGAAACAACAGTCATCATTAGTACCTGCTTTGGCATTTTAATATTGTGCAGTTTTACATGTTTAGTTCTTGAGTTTTTCATTAAAGACATAGTGTATGTTGCAGAAGAAATGCATCTATGCAACAACTTGATTTTAACATTTCTTGAAACTCCGCTAGAAGGACATGGTTATGAGTTGACAATTATATTTTAAATTGATTGACAGGCAAATGAAGTGATAAAGGCTAACAACTTATCTGACACGGTCATTGTTTTACATGGGCGTGTTGAGGTAGGTCACTAGTAAACAAGCATTTGTGTCGCTATTTTGTTTACAAAAGGTTGGGTTGATTTTATTGTTATTTGGCATTGGATGATTGGATTAGAGTTTGATATTGTAAACGAGCATTTGTGTTGCTTATAAAGATGCATCTATGTCACTATTTGCTGGTTTGATATTTCTTCTGTTTAGCTCTTGACATTTGCTGGCTTGATCAGAATTTGATCAGCTGACTTTTGCAATTGGAAGCAGAAATTCTTGTATATGTAAGCTCCAAAAAGATAATATATAAATGCAAGTATAGTTCTAGTCCCCAATTTCTTAGACCGAGGAACGTGCCATCCTTAACATGTCTTGATCATAACTTGAGTGCTGTACTGCCTATGTTGATCTAGTCTTGTGTGTGTTAGGATGGAAAGAACTTGCTTTTCTTAGTTTTGCTCATAATTGTCTTGTGTTTGTCAACTATTGATCATATTATTTTTCTTGATGTTATTTTGTTGATTACGAATAACATGGCTACCTATTATAAGAGTATGTTACTAGAGTAATTTAATTACTGATGATTATTGGGTTTGAAAGAGTTATATTTGCATTAGAGATGAGCTTCGATAATTAGAGTAGGCATTTGCTCTGTTGGTAAAGTTATTTCAAGAGTAAAGATACAAATCATATAGGTTGATAGGTTTTATATGGCTTGCAAATCTTCTATGCTAGCTCGTTTTTGAGACAAAGAATTTGCATTTAAGTTCATGCTATGGTATCTGTTCTTTCTACTTATCGGAGCATCTTGTCTTCATCTATCTTTGGCTTATCAAAATTTTGTTCATGTCTCTGTGTCGTGCATCATTGATTTCTATTCCTTAAGCTACTTGTCAGTAATAGTTTTAGCTGAGATTTGAAATAAGTAAATAAACATTCTATCATGTTTGAATAGCTGGATAACCACCTGAAGGTTTTTAAACACGTGTGATTTTGAGGCTTTATTTATCTATAGGTAGAAGTAAGGGATCGGGGGAAAGATTAGTTTGTTTATGACGAAAAGTATGACAGTGCCATTAGGTTATTCATTACTTTTGTTAGAGATTATGCACATTTGTAAATGCATGTGATTTGGTCTAGATTCTTCATTTCTTTTGAGAATTCTATAGCGTGACTTGTCTATTATACTTCATCAAGATGAAAGTATGTGCATTCTTCAAATCTGCATATTGTTATTCTTTGAAGCAGGATTGTTGACATTAGTTAATGTGTTCTTAGGCAGAAACTCACAAGCAATAGCTGAATGATAAACTTGCTTAATTTGGTGATATATATATTTTTTTGGCAATTAACTATACCTGGAGTTATTTATTGGTCTCCTGAAAAAGTTGCTATGTCATATTGTCAACAAGAACTGCAATGAGGCAAGCTGCATTTTAGGTCTCTTGTTTAAGATGTTCTTATGAGGGCGGTACAATCGTATCAGCTATGGGAAATGGAAATTGGAGGAAATTGTTTGATACATTCTTTCAGCTTGAGACCATGGTTTAATGGAAATCACTTTCTAAGTCACAGGCATTTTAATGTTTGTTAAGTATTTCCTCTGGTTCAGTTACATCTTGTTCATGACATCCAGAGTTTTAAAGCTAAATTCAAGGTTTTTCTTTTTATTTTTTTCGGCCCTGTCATTTAAGGCTGGTTATTTGCTGTTGTTTTTGGCTTGCTTTCCACGCCAATCCCTCGACCCCTCTTATTGATTAGTGAGCGGTTTGTTATAAAATGACGCGAAGGAGTGCCAATCTGTTTACACATTGGAGACCAAGGTTAGACAAAAGGACAGGGAATAAAGCAAGGGCCTAATCAAATGGTATATCAAACAAATACTCAAGCCTTCTGCAACAGAATGTCCTCTTTATGTACTCAAATTTTTGCATCATCTAGCATTCGACACATTGAACAGTTATGTTTTTGAGAGCTAGTGGAACAAAATGCATGCTAGACACAGCACGATTAACCTAGCCATTGCTATAAAAACTTGCATTATTATTTCTTAATTGTTGGGTATCTTTGCATGCAAACTAAGAGGAAAGATTGAAAATTTTCCGTTGACTGGACTGTTTCAGCGCGTTTGGGGATGAGCTTTGGGATATTAACACGTGACATCAGATTCAGTTTGCATTTGCTGCTATTTTGTATAGATATTAGTCATCTTATGTACTTTTGAATAAGGCCTATGTTGGAGTTTTAGGAAGAAAAGAATAGACGAGAGAAGTTATGAGAGGCAACTAAAAAAAAATGAAAAAAGAAAAACAGAGAGTTACATGACAAACTTTGTCCAATCTACTTTGACAGTTTAAGAAAGAGGTTTGACGATTTAGGATGAAAAGAGTGGGATGATTAACGACTTTGGTTGTTAGAATTTTCTTGTTTAGTCCTTATTTTTTTTTGGGGGGGGGGGTGGTGGTTGGTTCTTGGGGGGTAAAATTGGCATTTCAGAAATTTTACCAGCTTTAATTACATTTTCTCTCCTTTTTCCTGTCAAAGTTGGACAGAAAAGACTCTGGATTCTGTTTCTACAAGTCCTCTCATTACTCTTTCATTCTTGTTAAACTCCCTTAGGAAAGAAAGTGTTCACTTTTTTTCGAGTCTTCTCTTTTCTTCTTTTCCCTTTCCTTTTGAAACTAGCTGGAAATGTTTCTTTTTAAGCTTTCTTGACATGAGTATGTCTTGTTTTGTTCATCATAGGATGTTGAAATTGATGAAGAAGTCGATGTTATCATCTCTGAATGGATGGGCTACATGCTTCTTTATGAGGTAATCCACAAACAGGGATGCCATGCATATGGCCCTTCCCAATATCAAAGTGCATTTCGACTATTTAATTTTCTTGTTTCTAATTTGATATGCAAGTGCCTTGTAGAGCATGCTAGGAAGTGTGATTAGAGCAAGAGATCGTTGGCTGAAACCTGGAGGTCTAATTCTTCCTTCAAATGCCACGGTATGATGACTTGTTCCTTAGTATGCCAAATTGTTGCAGTCAACTGTTAATGCAAACTTTTGTTCACCTGGTTTGTAACAAATCAGGCTAGGAAAATGGATCAGGGAGAATTTTATTGGCACAACACTTGAGTTTTTTGTTAATTGATTTCATTTTTTAATTTGAAACTAGAAAGATCCATTGCCAATCTTGTAATTTTTTCAACTAGAAAATAGTTAGAATGACCTGATAGGGGCCAAGATGGATTTTGGTAGTCAGTTTGATAACTGAAGATCTATTGTGTGAACATCTTGTCTCTGTCTTTTTCTTTCGACATGAAGAATAGTGAAATTGCAAAGAGCATCATGGTAGTATCATTCTTATGCACATAATACATCCAGTCTAGTATGTGATAATAGACTCATTCTTTCGTGTTAGTTATCTGGACTTTGAAAAGAGATTCACTTTGGTTTGGTATTTTGTACTTTCTACAGTTATACATGGCACCTGTGACACATCCAGACCGATATTCTGATAGCATTGACTTTTGGCGCAATGTGTATGGAATTGATAGTGAGTACCTATGCAAGATCGGTGCTTTATTCTTGATAACTGTTTGATTATGCATCTTATGCAAGGGAAGCTCCCTTGATGAGTAACGAAGTAATTTTGGGTTTAAAACTATTGTTCTTACCTGAGATAATTTAGAAAATGTATAATCGGGCGTTCATTTTGCTTTCTTAGAAAATTTGCTTGTCTTGTGTATTCTGTTTTCAATAGTGGGTATCTGGCATAAATGGGTTTTATTTACCTGAAGTTTTCACTTTAATGGTCCTTTAATGGACAGATTTTCTGTTATTTCTTGGCCTGGCAAACAAAGTTATTGGAGGTATTCCAGGTCAATTGCTGAAGCAATACAAATTGCACTCTGGATTGAGTACTTAATTGTTTCCTTATCATGTCTTTGATACTTATGCTTTCTGGAGAATAACCATTTAGTTGACTTTATGAATAACTCCATTGGAGGCTTATGTGAAAATCTGGTTTCATGACAGTGTCTGCAATGCTACCATTAGCAAAACAGTGTGCATTTGAAGAGCCATCTGTGGAGACAATTAGCGGAGAAAATGTTCTGACGTGGCCTCATGTGGTGAGCTTTCATTCTTACCACCTTCTGTTGTTGGCATTCATTGAACTATTTGTATTTTTAACATATATGAACTTTTCACGGTTAATCTAGCAGAGAGATCATTTTCCGACTTGCCCTTCTAATTGGGACTGGTTTCATGCATTTGCATTGGTGGCACTTCATCTTCTATGATGCTGTGTCACCTTTTGCACAGCCATATGTTTAAGCTCTCATTTGAAACTGGGAATTTAGTGAAAACTTGTTGTAAACCTATATGCCAAGAAAGAAAAGCAGAGGAGCTAAAAGATGGTGAAGTGGTTCTTGGATCACAAAAAGAAACATATAACTCAGATGTTAGATCCAGAAAGCTAAATTTTTCTCAGAGCAAAGGGGACAACAATTTTGTAACCTAGAATTTATACTTTGCTTATTAACATATTTCACATCTATAGTTATTTTATATGGTTAATATTTAGCAGAAAATCCTAAAGGAAATGATATTCTCTTTCTTGAAGTCTAATTTTGAAGTGTAAAGTGTTTTTTCTCTTGGGATACTTCATATAATGCTATAGGTAATACTTTGACATATTCCAAAACACATCCTTAAAATATAATTTTCTCATATTTATATTCCAACTATTACATTCCAAGAAAGAAAAGCAGAGGAGCTAAAAGATGGTGAAGTGGTTCTTGGATCACAAAAAGAAACATATAACTCAGATGTAAGATCCAGAAAGCTAAATTTTTCTCAGAGCAAAGGGGACAACAATTTTGTAACCTAGAATTTATACTTTGCTTATTAGCATATTTCACATCTAGAGTTATATTATCTGATCAAATTTGCCCCATTTGTGCCTTTAAACATCTGAAAAGTTTTTTCTTTTATCACATGATTGGTAATGCCAATATGCTGATGCTCAGTCTGCATTTCCCATTCTGACATTGAGTATTCTATGGTTTTTCTTTTGGTGACACATGCAATTTACTAATTGAGATTCTTATAGAATAACAGTTTCAAATGTTTGTGGTAGTTAACTGGGTATCCTGTTTTGCCATACTTCTTATGCTTGTTATGATGTCTGGAAACATGGTTTGTTGTTTTCTAGTTTAGATTGTTTTTTGTACAGAGGTACATCATCTTTTTTCTGATGGACAGTTATATAGTGCATGAACTGTTGCTTAATTACTTTTTCAACTTTGTCATAGGTAAAAAATGTGGACTGCTATACAGTTTCAGTTCATGAGCTAGAGTCAATCACGACAAGCTTTAGGTTTCAGTCAATGATGCGAGGTAAATTGTGTAAGAATCTCTTGTCATCTCTTTTAGTTTTGTACATCATATTGTTGATGATCTTGAATACTTTTGTTTAGCGGAATGATCACCTAGTAAATCTCTCTGCTTTGCAGCACCATTCCATGGTTTTGCTTTCTGGTTTGATGTGGAGTTCAACGGGCCTGATCTAAATCCTTCCAATAATGACACATCTTCATTCAATGCATCCTCCAACGGCTATGTTACTGATCCTAATCAGCGAAAGAAGCGTCCCAATCCCAATGAAGCACTTGTGCTTTCAACTGCACCTGAGGATCCTCCAACACACTGGCAACAGGTGCAGTACTACTGCTTTTCTTTACAATTTTAACATCCAAAGAATGTGTGTATGATATAAACTATTAGTGTTTTTTGGTTTCCGATCATTTGAGTTATTTTGTGCAACTAATTTGCAGTTAGACTAGTTTTCTAGCATACTTACCTGTAGTAGAGTACTTATCTGGGTTTTTGGGCTTTTCTGTTTCTGGAGGAGTGACCAAGTGTGTTTGTAATTTGTTATATATGGAACTGGAAATTATATATCGGTGATAATTGTGAGAAATTGTCTGTAACTTGATTTCTTTTCAGCAAGTTCCACAGAAAATTCTGTCTGTTGAAGAAATTTTGTCCGTGATTTCTTTCTATTGCCAAGAAGTAAGCTATTTGCTGCTGAAATTGGTTCTTCATTGGCATTGATACCTATTACAAATTCTAAACTTGATTTAGTCTCATGATTTCTTTTTATACTTTCAAAGGCTAATTCCTGTTGCTGGGTTAGCAAGTTGATGACTTACTCCCCCTTTTATATCCCCATCAGCATTTGCAGTGTTTTTGGATCTAGACTCTTTGATGTGAAACTTACTTTGGGCCTTCCACCCCATTTTGCTTGGCAGACCTTGATATACTTCTATGATCCCATAGATGTGGAGCAAGATCAAGTTATTGAAGGTTCTGTAACTTTGTCACAGAGCAAGGAAAATGCTCGGTTCATGAATATCCATCTTGAATATGCGTAAGTTAAAGCTTATGACTCTTGAAACTTTAGAACTTTCGATTTGCTTGTTTCTTTACTCTTGTTTTATCTTATACCGAGCCTAAATCTTTTAAGAGTGAATTTGCTCCTGCAGATCTGGTGGTCGATCATTTGTAAAAGAGTCAGTTATGCGATGAGCTAGCTAGGTAATTCCTTCCGAGTTAATTTGTTGGGTTCATGAACTGGAGCTAGAGGATTTCAAATGGAACTTTTCTTGGGCTGTTGTGTGCTAATTTGTTCTGCTTCTTAGATTCACTGCCCACTTAAGAGTTTCAACATATTGGTGGATTCACGTCATTTCTACTGTCATTACTTCCTGAAGCTTCGAGAAGTAATTGGATATGTTTGACTGTGAAAAGTGAAATTTTAATAGTTTTTCTTGTACAAAATCAAGTACAGGAAGATGCTGAAAGAATTGCAATGACCCTTGGTGCCCTGGAATGGTTGGTGGTACCTGTAACTCATACTTTTAGAATGCCATACATGGAAAATAGGTAAAAGCAGAAACTGTGACTCTTGGGATTCAGGCTAGGTGTTGTGTTTTTCTTGTTTATGCCTTGTGGCAGATAGGATCTAGCTTTATTGTTGTTGACGATTCTAGGATTTAGCTTTATTGTTGTTGAGCTTATAGTTGTTCGGCCAGTTAGGAGAAAAATATTGGTTGATTAACTGAATATTTCTGTAGTATTTATAAGGTGTCCCAACGTTTCTCTATGTTATACACTGCTATGAATCTTGACATATCTGTCTAGTATTTTTGGATCCAGCTGTGATAATGTGAGATCGAGTGGTAAATTTTTGAGATGAAACAGGCTTTACATCTTTGTTATGGTAGTAGGTACATGCGCAGACTATACTTTCAGTGTGTGTTTGTCTTTGAAAGAAAGAAACTGGATATCTGTAAATTTGATCACTATGCACTACGTAACAATTTCTTAGTTTGTAAAATGTTGGTTAAATCGTTAATGTGGCGATGGATTGTTAAATATATTCGTGGTTTCAAGTAGATGCGTATCAGACTTTACTGGAAAGTTTACAAGACAAACATGATCAGGAATTTTGACTTTGTTGAATGCCCGTTAGTAAATTTTAGGCTTGGCCCATGTTCAAATCTGACCGTGCCTCTCGATAGTAATGTGAGGGTTAACTGCTGTAGTCTGTATAGTCCATGGAAACTTTTAGGTGGTATTGCCTGCAGTCTCACTTTGGCTTAGCCAATGAAAATATCAAGAGACTCAAACTTGATGAACCCCTTGTGCGATAAGAAGCATCTGATTTTGTTTAGTGTTTGATGATAATTGAGTGCGTAATTCTTAGTTTGTAAATTTCTGGAACAGAAATGCATTTAACTTGATAGTCTAAAGATGTAAGCTGTACATTCATGATCATGCAAAGAAGCTTTATAAAGGTTATATAGGAGATCATTCTTATCATTATGGGTTCAAAGACGAGTTTATACTCATCAGTAAGGCAGTTAGTAGGATGTTTTCTGGTAGTCCTACTTGTTCTTCAGACAATTATACATTCAAATCTTGGAAATTCAAATAGCATGATGTAATAATTTTCATTGTCTATTTCCCTAATCTTCTTCCTCTCGCCTCAAAAGGCATTAGGATTGGTTCATTTTGATTACTATTATAGTGTCAGCAGGGATTCTAATTTGATTATACGCAGTATCCTTTTCAATGTTTGAATGCAGCACTCAACTATTACTAAACATTTTATGGAAGACCAAGAAATCTTTCTTATTAACAATTTGGTTGGAACTTTTCATCAGAAAGTGCTGTAGAGTTGTCGCATTTTTGTCTGTATCAGGTATTAGAAAAAGCACTTGGCAACCAAGTACATCCATTCTTTAAAAGATACAATTGATATTGGAGTTCTTTCCTCTCCATTACAGAAGTACGATGGCCTCAAAAAGTCACTGTACTACTAGTCTAGTCTACCATTTCAAACATATTTATAGTACATCAAGCAGATGATTGTGATCGATCTGGGAGGGTTTAAAAAAAGGTTAAAAAAAAAAACAAGCAGATGATTGCTATCAAACTTTGATCACAAAAATCTTGTTGACAACTACTGTTGTCGACCACCTAGAAGCATCACTAATCCCTCCATTACCTAAAGAAAACTTGAATTTCTTAATCTCTAACAGGCACACTATGACACTAACATATCTAGAAATGAATAATTAGGCTCCAAGCATACATATCATTAGAATCTCATAGTCCATAATTCTTGTTTCGTTTTGTTCTAGTTTAGCAAGATAACAGAAGCCGAATCCATTTAACCATATACATACAGATATGACAGATAAGATTATGGATTGGCAAACATAAACTTGATTCTCAGTTTTCAGGCTAAAGAGCTGGTTGATTCAAATGGAAGATTTGCTGTAATTGTAGGAGTTCTAGGCCATCACAAGTTGCGATTATTTCTTTTGTTGATCACTTGTTTTCAGAATTATTTGCATAAGATGTGCATATGCAGATTTTATCTAATCACAATTACCACAGAAAGCTGCCTTTTATTTTATTTTATAACTTCCTCAAGCTTTCTGGATATAGCTGCAGACTACAGAAACAAGTTGCTTTTTTGGTCCATTCGAGTTATGTTGTTATTATCCAAAAAGTGTTTCCAGCAATTCGTTAATAAAATTTGCTTTTTATTAAAAAAAATATTGTTGTTATTGTTGTTATTAATATTGTATTAGTATTGTCATTGTTGTTATTTTGCAATTATTTGACCAGTTGATCAGAAACTTCATAGCCTTAGTTCAATGAATATCACCAACACACTATTTTTGACAAACAATTGCAATCACCTCTAAGCAATTTAATATCTGAATTATGCTTAGGGTTTCAAGGGTATAATTTCTATAACAATAAAATTCGTTTTAGATCTATTCCCATCTAGAATGGCAATATTTTGAATGCAAAAATTTGATGTTCCTAAGCAATTTAGAACACCAAATTGCCATTTATGATCCAATTATCTCTTCCATTTTAGAGACTTATTTAGAAGAGAAAAGAAGGGTTTACGAATTAGGAATGAGGAATTAACACCACATATCCTCTACTTGTCTATGCTTGATTCTTCTGATTACCTTGTTTCTTGTTACTGATATTCCACATATTTACATTTAAGAATTACATCTGCATGATTTTGTGTGTGTCTGTGTGTGTGTGTGAGAGAGAGAAAGAGGGAACACAAAGTTTAAAACATATTGTTTATTGAACTGTTGAAAAAGTATTTGTTTAGTGATTACAACTTTTAGGTGTTATAATTGCTCAATTATTGGAAAGTAGTGCAACTCCTCTATTATATGCAACCCAAACTGCTATTTTCTTTTTCGTTTGTGACATTCCCACTCCAAATTCTTTTCTATTTTCCTGCCCAATCCATTTAGGGTTTGCTTGTCGTATTTAAGAGCATAAACTTAGTAGAAAATTCTTTGTGTCTTAATCTTCTTCCACACCCTCAGATATTTAGTATCTTTATCAATTTCAACACACAATAATTTTAATGTTCGGTTGTCTGAACCAGCATGGTCTAGTGACTACTAAAGCTAGCGGAAATCAAAAAGTTAAATGGATTGAGATATTGCTTTTTATTTATTATGTTTTTTTTTTTAGTGTAAGCGGGAGGATTCGAATCCGAGACCTTTCGCTTAAACTCGCTCCTCGCGTACCACCCAACCCAACCCAACCCATCCTTTTGCTTACTTAGCAGGCGATGAAAGCTCATAATTGAGATAACTATAATATATATTAAATAGTATATTATAATGCCATTAGATTATACTATATATTTAACATTTACTTACATTAAGAAAGTTCAATATTTTTTCTTAACTCGATTTCTTTTGAAAACTCCTATGCCTAGGGTTTCTTGTCTTTGAGTTTTCGTTAGTTTTGGGTATTATGTTACCTAATGCATTGAGGTTTTTTTCAGTTCCTTAATGCTTACTTAGATTTAATCATCAATTTTAATTATCAAATAAATTCAAGTCTTTCGGAAGCCCTCATGTCGCAACAATCTGAATGATTGAAATCTCTCTAGCAAAACTCGTGAACAAGATCATCTTGTCAAAGATGGATTTCTTTATTTTCATCAATCAATTGATGGTATGGCCCAGAATCAAATTCAAATTCTATCATGTCTAAGATGGTTTACACTTTTTGGCTGCATGATATAACATATATTTGATTCTAGAGGTATCCTTGAGCAATCATTTAGGCAAAATTCAACTTAGATGAATGATCGTGATAATATATTGGCTGCATGGCAACAAATGAGATGAGCTAAGCCGCCATTATCGGTTAAAAAGAGAGATTATATGAAATCTTTACTTTTTAAACAAACCTTCCACTGATTAAGAGAAGAAAAAGTTGGTTTTGCCTAGCATTAATTTAGTTTAGAGCTAGATTATATTAATCCTAATGCATGATGAGCTTATCATCAATAGAACAACAAAAGAACAATAACTTTCTGGGAGATAACTCGTGCAAACCATAAAGTTGATGTATCGATTACAATAATTGCAGTTAATTTAATGCTTCTTTTCGCTTTGAACTGCACGTAGATTAAAGACTTTTAATATAGAGCCAGTGGAAATTGTTGCAGCACACAGTTAGCTATTTGTCTGGTTGGAGATTCGAATTTGTGACTCTTTCTGCCTAGATATGGTAGCTTGACTTGGGATTGTGGAAATGTTTTCTAGCATGATTGAATCTCCATATTCACAAATTTAATACATTGGTTCTAAAACCATACTTTTGCTTCACTGTAGTATCCCTAAATCTAACTATGATTCACGATGATGGAGGAAATGGATCGAAAAAAGGGAAATTTTAGTTATAATATATATATCTAATAAAACAGTTTGGGCGAGAGGGAGGCTGTGAGTCACTCGGAATACGGATTTGTGGTTGGTTGATTCTTTCAAGTTGATTCAATTTTCACTTGTGAAAATAAGAACTATAGTGTGTATTCTATCTCAAGTTACACTAAGTTATGTCACAAGTTGTGCACTTGTAATGGTCCTAGAAACATATTGTCTAAGAGAAAAGGGATAATAGGGAAAACAAAACTAAAATGAATTATAACTCTAGCAATCAAATTATATACGGAAGTTGAATAGTACAATTCCCTAAGCCTAGAATAAGGTTTTTGGCCAATATAAAGAAATAGAAGAAAATACTTATGGAACATTTCTTGGTATCATTTTTGTGTAAATAAATGGAAAAATTGGCATAGTGGAGCACTTAGCAAGAAGTGGTACCATACAAATCCAAACCTATGCATGCGGAGTCAAACAACTAGACAATTGCTTCCCTATAAGGGTTCGTGTAGAATACTCAAAACATTCTTGCAAAATTATTTGTTATTACCAATTAAAATGACCCAAAACTACATGAATTCCAAGAATACACTTAAGCTGGATGCATAAAACAGTTTTAATAGTTTTAGCTTCAATACTTTGATGGAATGGAGCTTAAGAACTTCTATACCTACAGATGCATTGCTCAAGCTAGTAGTAAAGTCTTTGTGTGGAGGCAACCACTAAATTATAAGGCAAGAAGTCTGGGTCTCATTTTTCTTCCACAAGCGGTAGAAACACACACACTTACACTCAATTAGACCGACGCAGAAAGCATCGGAAAATCGACCCGAAAGTCATCTAAGGGAGACCTACAAAGAGAGACCGTTCAGCCAATTGGTGACAGAACGGCTTCGCTGTGGACCTTAAACCCAAAGTAACTACCCCGCGATCTTTCGATACGGGACGGTGACACCCATCCCCTTCCCGCGCACAAGTCTGGGTCTCATTAGGTCCAAAAGAATCTTAGCACT